TTCCCCCCCCCCCCCCTTTACCACCAGGCCCCCCCCCCCCCCCCCAAACCACCCCACCCCACCCATCCCCCACCCCCACCCAGGTTGATCCCCTCCTCGATGCCGCCGTCGATTGCGTCGATGTGCTCGAGCTCGCATCCTTTGTGCAGGCCCCCCCCAGGCGCCCCTACGGCGGCGCGCAGCGCCGCTGCACCCCAAACAAAAACGCGCGCGCAGCGCGCGCCAGCGGCGCGCAGCGCCGCCGCAGGCGGCGGACAGCAGGTGCGCAAATTTAAACGCCATTTTCGGTTTCGCACTTTTGCCAAAATCTTCAAAATCCGGTACAAATCGACTTAGGAGATTTTCCGTGCGCAGCCGGCGGGGCCCATGGCGGGGGCTGGCCCCCCGCTGCCAGGCGGCCAGCCAAAAATGTTATAAACACCAAAATTGGGTTTACATAGTAAACTGCTTGCCAGAGGCCTCAGCAACTTTGTACATCATTTTGGTCCTTTCTGTGTGGGCATGAGAATCGTTGCGTTGGACTGCCGCCTTCTCCACCGGCTTTCGTGATCACGTGGGCCACAGCGGACACTGGGGTGGGACAAAACAGCTGCTCTTCCCTAAACGGTGCCCTCAACAATGTGGAGTATCTCGCTGCCGGCTACGCCCCCGTACTTCATCGACTCCTCGGTATCGTACCATATCTACTTGGAGCACAACTGCTTCGACGACGGACGTGCCTGGTGGTTCGTGAAACCTGGTGCATGGGGCGGGCATGATCATAGCTGTGCTGGCATTGCTTTTGTCACCGGCGACTCCTGTCCTCCTCGCCACCGCTCGGCACAGCGACCTGGGGCTTGTTCTGCAATGACACCTGGACAACCAAAAATCTCACGCTGGTCTCAATGCTGGCACTCCACCATCCCCGCCGCTGCCGCCACAACCGCCAGCGTTCGTGTTGGTTGTCGAGTCGGCGTCTACGCTGCCACCGGTCGAGCTGCTCCCTGTGGCGGTGTTCCAGGGCTTGCTAGAGGTGGCGGCTTTCGACCGCCGATTCCGTGAAGCACTCGAGGAGGGGGAGGGGGTGGCAACCGCCGAGCAGATGGCGAGGCGCAGATGGTTGCTTTTGGCCTTGTGGACAACCAACTCGTGGCACAGATGGGACCAGAGTTGTTTCGTGGAATATTGTTGGTGTCGGGACCGAGGAGAATATGCTACCACTCAAGACGGCATGGAGCCAGATTGGGATAGAGACGCAGGCCATGACTCCCGAGGACGCAGAACATCACTTTTATTTGCCGTTGCCACCACCTGCGTCACCGCGGCCGCCACCGCCGCCGCCGCCGCCGTCTCTGTCGCCACCGCCACCGCCGCCACCGCCGCCACCGCCACCGCCACCGTCACCACCGCCGCCACCGCCATCGCCACCACCGCTTGGCGGTGGCGGTCGGATTCCGCTTGGCGCGATCATCGGGGGCGTAGTCGGAGGGGTTGCCGCTGTCTTCGCGTTCATTGTCGCCCTCGTCTACGTCCTCAAGATGAATACGCGTATCACCGTGAAGCGCGCCGCTTCGATTCCTCAGGCAGACCCCGTTCCTGCTGTCCAAGTGCAGACGGCGGACGGCGAGAAGGGACCTGAAGCCGTTGATCGCGCATAAAACTGCGAGAAGATGATGCGGAACGCGGCGCAGCTCACGCTCCCAGCACACAGCGGGGTCACCTAAGGGTGTGGAACGGTTGAGTCGCGCACCAGCTGCCGTCTACTCTGTGTCTAGACGCAAGACGCGGCGGGGCCGGCCCGCGGGGGCCGGGGAAGGGGGGGGGGGGGGAGCCCAGGCTGGGGTACGGCTTTAGCTAGGGGGCCCACAGCGCCCCAAAATCCACCAGTGTGGGATTTCGCGCAATCGCTTGACTCTGAAAAGCTCGCATATCCCTGCGGTGAGCGCTGTGGTCGCCGCAGACTGGCTCCGACTTGACGGCGGCATGGAGACGTGATGCACAGCCACTACCGACACGCAGCTGCACATCTCGCCGCGCCTCGCCCTCGCCGTCACCGCCTCCTCCTCCACCATCCCGCTCAACGACGACGCGATCATCAGCCCGTACGCAGAGGGCAACGGCGCCGAGCGCCTCCTCCTCTCGGCGGCGCCGCGGCCGCTCTCGGACTTCTTCCCGGGCGCACCGTCGCTCCCCGCCTTCCGTCAGATCCGCGTACGTCGCGCGCACGCGCGACTTGCGCACCCGCGACGCCGCATCTTCGCCGCGCCGCCACCGCGCGCACCCTCGACACACATTGTCATCGTTGTGCCGCGCCGCACTCATCCCGCGCCGCACTCATATCCTGCACACTTTGCACCCTGCACCCTGCACCATGCACCGTGCACCGTGCACAGTGCACCCTGACGCCGCACCGTGCACCGTGCACCGTGCACCGTGTACCGTGCACCCTGACGCCGCACCCCTATCCGGCAGGTGCAAGAGAACCTCGCCAAGCAGCCCTCGTTGCTGCCCGTGGTCGAGGGCAAGAAGGCGGCGCAGTGCCACCTCTACTTCTCGCCCGTCTTCATCACGCCCGACGTGCTGCTCGGGCGCAAGACGAAGCAGGTGCTCAAGCCGACGCAGATCCTGGGCGACGCGCAGCTCATCGACGACGACATCGTCTATCTCTCGACCGAGTTCATCGCCGCCGGCCTCAGCTCCGAGCGCCTCTGAGCGCGCCGCCGTCGCCGCGCCGCGTGGTGCTTGCAGAGCGAGAGAGAGCGCGCGAGCACGCGCGCGGCGAGGGGCGCGCGACTGCATGTGGGGACGCGCTGAGCGTGGCGCCGCGTCGGTGCGTGTGTGCCATGTCGGGCAGGCGCATGGGTGTGGGTCGGGTCGAGGGTTGGGGCGGGTGCGACATGCATCCCAGGAGATCTGATGAACCGGGACTTGGTGTTGAGTGAGAGGCCCCGGGCATGACAACTCGTGCTTTTCGTGAGCCGCAATGCCGTTTCTACATTCTACATCTAGCCAAACGAAAATCTCCGCGCAATATTGAATATAACTTTAGTAATAAAGCTACAGCCGTACGGCTGCAACCAATCTGAATCTCTTTACTCTTTATCTCTTATCTGCGAGCGGGCCTCCGCTCCGGACTTGGCTTCGATTGGTGCATCATGATCAACTCACCCGAAGGTCGTCACGGATGGCTTTCGCGAGGCTGTGGGTGAAATTCTCAAAAAGGTGCAGCACTTCTAGCCGACATCGACAAAAGTCCCTCTCTTGCCCCGCGGCGAGCGGCCCCGCCGGAGGCGAAGAAAATTTCGCCATCTAGCGCTCGCAACACATAGATTTGTGCATAAATCAACACCTCCAATCTTCGGGGGAGTGACGGATAAAGGCGTGCGAAAGAGCTAATGAATCCGAAAGCAGCGAATCCAAGTGATGGCCCGCCGCAGGCGAAGAAAATTTAGGGTTGGGGTTCCCCTATGCCAAAGAACTCGGAGAGGATTTCGGCGGCCGGCGTCGAGGCACAGCGGTTCGCGCTGCCTGCTCGCGCTGGTTACACCGTTGCTGTGGCCGTCTTCGTCCGTATTGTACACCGAGCTGGCGCCACAGCAGAGTACAACAACGGCTCGGACGAACTGCTCCACGGTACTACATCATCAGAGGGCCCGGCAAGGTCCACGGCGGAGCTGGCGGTGGTGGGAGTGGTGGTAGGAACGAAGGCGCACCTGTCGGCGATTCACCGCCGTTCGTTCCCGTCTCTCAAAGCTGGTTACACCGTCGATGCGCACATCGAGGCGCTCGTGGACGAGAGAGACGTCGCCTCCTCTTTCGTCCCGGGGCACTGTTCACGCCGGAAGTCCCCGTACACTGCCAAGTACATTAGCCTTCATCTCTCCTACCGCCGGCCGGGAGTGCAGCCGCCACCAGTGAGATTGCCTCGACGTTGGCACCTGCGAAGTAATGAACAACAGGCAGTGCGTCATATGGCGCTATGATAGCCCTGCGGTGGACGTCCTCGACGCAGACGAGGCGGAGCTCATCTGCGCGGCGCAGATCGCCGACTGTCTCTCCCTCCCTGCGCGAGTGGTTGCACCACCCTGGATGAGGCATCTGGGCTGGGGCAGGGCCGTTAGTAGAGGAGGGCGACTGAGGGCGCGAGGCCGCCAATCGTCAAAGTCTGCTGCGACTGACTGTCGGTCACTGACTGAGCAATGAGCAATCGCATCGGCGGTTTCACTCACGCTCACAATCGGGTTACATCCAGGTCTCTGTGCGGGATGTGCTGGGGGGCTGCCCCCCAGTCGATTGCCGCATAGTTCGTCGATGTAACCCTACCAGAAAGCTGTATTCACACCTACCCTTCCAAAAAAAGAAATGTCCCTGCTTTTGTCGAAGATCCGGCGGGTTTATCGGAGCATCACCCCTGTCCGTCACGCTTCTGCTGCCAGCGGGCCGCCACGTGCTCCTTGCCCCCTGGCGCCCTCCAAATACGACGTAGCGCCCGCCATGGCGCCCGCAAGCCAGTGGATGCGCACGAGTCGCTCCTCGCCTCGTGGTCCCTCGAAATGCATCAGCAGCTCATTGAGCGCGCTCGACGGCGCCCCGGCGACGCGCGACGCTTTTTGCATGTGTGAGCGGCGAGCCGTGCTCACAACTCGCTCGTGGGCAGAGACTACCACTCTATAGCGGGAGACCACACTCAGCATTGAACTCAAGACTGAGATTGTGGCGCTACTGGACGCCGGTCTGAGAAGATGCAAGGAGGGAGGCCAGCGGTGGCGTGCTCTGCCCTTGGTGGATGCATGCGGTGTGCTGTAGCGTTCGCGTTATAAGCTACCCTTTCGTAAGGAGGGAGCTTTCATTTCACCCAAAAGCGGCCCCTGTCGCCTGCTTTCGCTTTTGTTGCAGCCGCTGGATGCCGAGTTTGGGGTAATCCTTGCCATCGCGCAGGTCGGCCAACAGCGCGCCCCACCACTCGGGCTGCTCGCCAACGTCGTAACAGACGTCGGCCGGGTCCTCGGCCGAGCACTTGGCGATCACGGCTGCCTCTCGCTGGATGAGCACAAATTTGAGCCGCGGGGGCAGCGGCGTATGGTTGCGAGGCTTGGCCCGTGCGTGGGTGGACTCATTGCGCGTGTTGGTCATGAGGCGCTCTGCCCAGCCCTGCAGCACGTCCGAGACGACTGGCCCATTCTGGCTCCGCCCCACGTGGAGATCCTCGATAAAATAGAGGCCGCCATCGCGCAGCGCCGGCCAGAGGATGCGGAGAGTGAGCAAGATGTCGCGGTTGGAGTGACTGCCGTCGTCAATGATCGCATGGAACCCGCCGCCGCTCTGGTGCACCCAGCGGCGCAGCGTTTCCGGGTCGCTCTGGCTCCCTATCATCGTGTGCAGTCCATCCAGCTTGCCCTCGGCCCTGGCTTTATTCACGCACAGGCCATTTGACTCCGCAAACCAGATCTCTGCAGTGGGTAAGAGGCTTCGCCACAACCGAGCCGAAGCGCCCGGGCCGTACTCCATCGAGCATCCCAATCCGATCTCCAGCATCTTGAATTTGTCACCGTGCATGGCGGCAAGCGGTAGCAGCAGCGCGCCGTACATCAGATGATAGGTATGCGGCATCACTTTGTCGGTTGTCGGCACAATGGACTGTGCTGCCTTGCGCACACGAGCAGGGCCCTCCTCGCTTGTGACAGCCTGCCACGAGGTGCTTTCGACTGCCTCCGCGCTCGTAAAACTCCACCAGCACAATGAAGTCAGAAGAGCCGCGCGGAGCATTCCTCTCGCCGTCGCAACACTCGTCGACTCACGACGGGGGTCTGCAGACCACCCGGCCGAACTTCAGAGAGAGAGAGAGAGAGAGAGAGAGAGAGGGTCGAGCCAGGTCACTGCCACACCTACGGGCAGCACGCCTCGGCGTTAGCATCGCGACGACCGGCACACTCTCTCGTGTCCTCGGCGCTAGGACTGGAACCGGGCAGCGATTGGCAAGCGAGCGGGCTGCGTCGCTCTCTCGCCGGAAAAGAGTGGGGGCAATCGGGCGGGTTCGCTCGGTGGAAGGGTGGGGAACGAGCGGCAGCGGCCGCGTCTCGCGGCTCCCCGATGGCAGCAGCCTCACCTGCGAACGGGAGGTGGCAGGGATTGTGAGGCCGAGAATCGCATGGTGGGAGCGGAGAGGGAGCGGCGGGTTGCGTGAGCAGGAGGCGTCGCGCCGCTCGGGCGTGCAGCTCCCCGCGGCCATATGTGCGTCGACGCGGCGGGGCAAGCGCGAGCGGAACGGGAAAGGCGAGGGTTGGACCTGCGGACCTGTGGCGAAGTACACAGAGAAGCCAGCCGAACGCCCTGCCTCGATCAGGTGTATATTATTTTTGCGTGGGGCGGACATCATGCCGGGGTAGGTAGGTAGGGTCTGGGCCCTCCCGTCGGGTTTTTCCCTCTCTTCACGCTGGAATTTTCACAGCAGAAAAAGAAATTTTCCCCGGAAATCACGATGTCAACCCTCCCCAAATGGGTGATCTGATGCTTGTAGGGCTTGAGAGTGGCCTGCCATGTCACAGGAAGGACTGTGGTTGCAGGATAGTACCACCAACCATCACTCTAGTTGGTATAGTACCCCACCTTCACCCATCCTGTGATTTCTTTTTTAGTTTCCCATAAGTAAGGTAGGTAGGTAGGTAGGTAGGTAGGGGCACCGCAGCGGCCGGTCAGGTTTTTCCAGAATTTCAGCATGATGTCCGCCCCACGCAAAAATAAACGCCACCTGCCTCGATCAAAAAGAGCGTTCGGCACTACTCTCTCGAGGTCTCGCGGATCTTATAAATCAGCCGAACGGCCAAGGGCAACCCCGCAAGACTAACTACTAAAACAAAGAAGGGCGCCGGCAAGTACTAGCCCGGTCGAACACTGCCCAAACAAATAAATTTTGAGCTGAGAGGTTGGGGGATTCGCTCCGAGCGACGGTCCAACGAGAATCGTCAAAATCAGGCAATGAAGAGACCGGTAGCCACCAGCATGTCGGTGCGTCTTTCTCATGCTCCCCCCCCCAGCGCCCCCCGCGCCCGAACTATGCACGGGCCCGGCTCGCCCGCTTGGGGATCCACCCGGCACATCCCCGCCCCCCACCTTCCGGCTTACCTGCCGTCAGTTAGGTAGGTAGGTAGAAAGGTGAAGAACAGCCAGGCTCGGAGACTGGACACCAACGCGGTATGGGTGGACGCTGGTCGCTGGACAGATGATGACGACACGCACGAGCGACACACAGACACAAACAAGCTCACAAGAAACACAGCCAGCGGGCTGCCACACACCCTGAGTTGGCGTACACATAACTCAAGGCCACATCCTCCCTGTCGCCCCCTCCCCCACGTCAGTTCAGCGCGATCGCCCGCTACAAGTCCGCCGACTAAATGATTTTCGGCCGGCCGCAGGTCGGGCTGGACGCGGCTGTTTCGGCCGGCGGTCGGGGTCGGACACCAGCTTTGTCGGCGCGTCAGCGCCGACGAAAATTTTGGGAGATTTTCTTATACTCCCGAGCTCCCGACTCCCAGTTACCCGACCTCCGTGTGGGTTTTGTCAAACGAGATTGAATCTTGGAATCTGCTGATTTTCTCCTTGACGTTCCCTTCTCGCTTCTGGCTCGCTGCGCTCGCTGTACCTAACACAAATCTCTCTCGATCGGCAGCACGCCTGAGCCGTCCCAAACCGCACTTATCTTGGGTCTGGTGACGTGTATTCTTAGGCGGTTCTCCCGTAACAGAAGTGAGTTAATCAAAAGGTGTGAGGTAAGTACGACCTTCGTAGGACACATCTGCTCGAAAAGAGTAACGTGTAGTCCACACACAGTGTTCCCACAACGAGAATGTAACGGCTCTGTGTGCACTGCACAGAGTGCTGGCCTGCTGTATTGGTCTTAGAAGCCGTGTTTTTTGCATAGTCGATGAATCCAGGCCAAGAGATGAAGAGCCATGGCCCTCCTGGGCGACGGTTGCGTAGAACGGGCTGGAGACGGTTTTAGTGCCTCATCGGTACTTTCTCACTGACTACGTGTAACTACTCCAAAAGCTGAGTGACACCCTACGCCCATCGGCTCAGAACCCGTCTTATGTATATGTGGGCCACAGCCATGAGGTGATTTTTCATGCGTTAGGCTTCGTCTCTGTGCTGAGTACCTCATGGCGGGTGCTGTCTCATCGGTCGTGAATGGGCCGGTAACGGAAGTAAACTTCAAAGCCATACTAACCGATGCTAAGCCGCTGGGTATAGGTTGTCACTCAAATTTTGGAGCAGTGGCTGGCCTGGTACATGTACCATATCGCCCCTCAGCACGTCATCAGCCCTCATGGGCCTCATCTCAGCCACTGCTCCAAAAGAATCTCAGCCACTCGTCTCTCGATGTCACGATGCGCTCGTGACGAGCCATGAGATGACCTTTGTCGGGTCCGTTTGTGGATTCAGGATTGCGCTTTGATGAGACTCGAAGCCCGATCGTCGTAGCCACCTTCGTCGAAGCCCGCGTCGTCATCGCCCCTACACGATGCGCACATGCCCTCGCCGCAGTCCTCGTCACTGACTGACGGTACCGCAGCCCGGGCGGTGCAGGCCGATTTCGAAGCAGCATACGGCCTCGTCCATTCCCAACGTGACGAGCAGCGGATGGACGTGGCTATCAACGCCCAGCGGATTGCCGGTGTTGCGATGGACGTACCAGATCCGGAAGCCAGCCTCGACGATGTAGTGCCGCCAGAAAGCCGCCATGAGGCGCAGCTGCGCCTGGCTGCCCATCTGCAGCTGCGTTGCAACATGCACCTCCAGCACAATCGTACACACTTTCTGCAGCAGCGTCGGTGTCCGCACCGCGATGTCGTTAAATGACTCCCACTCGCATCCTTCGCAGTCGATCTTCAGCATGTCGATCTGGCGACCGATATGGCCACTTTCTTGCATCAGCGCGCTGAGCGGTTTGATCCTCTGGCTGTCGAGCGCGCCGTAGGTGCCCGATACGAGGCTGGCTGCGCTTCCACCGGCGCCAACGCCAAGACCTGCGTAGTGGAAGGTGAGGTTCGGCCTGCGGCCTGCAGCGTACTGCTCGTGTCTCCTGCGCAGCCTTTTGGTCGGGTCGAACGCATGCACCTCGCATCGACGTGACATCCAATCTTCGAAAGACCACTCACCGCCGATGCCAAACGAGTATACCAAGCATGTAGAAGGGCTGGATGCGAGCTTCTCGGGTTCAGCAGTGGACCTGCTGCCGAAGAGGAACGGCTCACACAGTGGCAGCGCATCGTCGTGGCAGCGGCGCTGCGGGGAAAGCGCATCCGCCTTTGACTTGCATGGCGATGTGTCCATACGAAGCAGCCGGCCCGGGCACAGCGCAACGGAGGGCGCCTTATTGTTTGCATGCGCCCACTCGGGCATCGCTGCCCACCGCGTTGACGCCGCGCTCTCATTCGAGCTCTTTCCGCCTGCCGCGTGGCTGCTGCCAGGCACCCACCACTTGCGCGTCGTGGCGTCGCATGGGACGCCCGCACTCAACGTGAGCCACTTCAAGCTGGACTCCCTGGCAGCGCGCGAGCGGGGGCTGTTCAGCACTGACTGCCATTGCCAACGCTGCTTGATGGAGAAATGCTCCACCACCTCCTGGCGCAGCGCCTCTGAAGCCGCCTCATTGTAGCATGCGTCATGGCCCACCAGAACCTGCACGAAGTCCAGCACGTGTGCGCACTCGACCATCGAAAGGCCTCCGCCATCTGCGTTGCGAGTGCACTCACGCAAATTCTGTCGACCAATGCCTCCAATGTCCGCGCTTGAATCAGGATGTGGATCGGTGCTGGGGGGGCTCGAGCCGCTGCGGATAGAAGGGCCTATGACGGTGGCCGTTTTGTTTCGCCGGAGAAGCTTGCGGCTTTTCTCGCGGGCCTTCGAGTAAGGCCCGGAGAGGATGTGGTGCACAATGTACTTACGAAGGTCGAAGGGCGTCGTGTAGGAGGTGGCATTTGGCTCGACAAAGGGGTAAAAGGCTTTCTTCTGCAGCCTCCAGTTGTACGCAAACCAAGCCTGCGCAAGGCGCGACACATTGAAGGCGCGCAGCTCCGCGTCCACGAACGGTGGCAATGCTTCGACGCCGTCACGTGCAGCGAGGGCGGCAGCATGTAGTAGCAGCTTCCAGACGTAGACGTCATTCATGTACAGATTGCGCGTCAGCCAGTCTGGACACGAATGGTTCCGGAGCTCGAGCAATCGGCATGCCCTCAAGATTCGTAGCAGCCCCCCTGAAGCGAGCGGGGGCATGGATATATCACACGCAGTGAGCAAAGGCACCGTGGAGGAGTGGTTCAGTGGTCACACTCACCCTCGTAAAGATCAAGGGCGGAAGAGACGAGGCCAATGGCGTTGTCGCTTGCGCTAAAGGCCATCAGCCCAGATTCGACTCGCCATGAGACGCCGAGAAGCCCGCGCTCGATTCGCGGCTGAGCCTGGCCTGGCTCGAATGGTGTGTAGGTTACATCGCGCCCGCCCACAAACTGGAGGAAGCGATCATCAGGCAGCTTGATGAACTCCACGTCCGCATCAGCCCATAGCACGATGCGTGTGCCTTCGATGCGCGCGAGAGCTTGCGCGTAAGC